ATCATATTTGCACTACCTTCACATAGAGCACAACTCAATGTTCTATTGCATTTTGCAGCATATTTATGTATTTGCACCATACTGAACCTTTCAAAAATCAATGCCTTTCACACCATGACTTTAAACCAGTTTCCTTTTCTCCTACACTATTAACATTCTGATAACTGCTGCACTTTATAAATGGTGAAGTTAATTTCACTGTCGTTAGCTGCCTCTTCACTGCTGAAAGCTGTATGTATCGAAATTTTATTTTGTATACACAGGGTACGAATTTTGTCTAAGTTTAAGTCTAAATAATATGTGTACACATTTGCTGAGATATTAAGCATCCTTTGCTGCGTCCTCTTGGTGAGGAGATGTTCAGCTCCCAATTGAGGTTCTGTGGGATGAAGAGGATGTAGCTAATATTATGGTCAGGATGATGTGAATGAAGGTGGTGTCATCCGCGACCTTCAGTAGCTTGAGTGACTGGTGACTGGAGGTCAAGCTCTTGGTGTTCGGTGACATTAAAGGCAAAGCTGAAGTTCAAAAATAGGATCCTTGCACAGTTTGCTGGAGTCCAGTTGCTGCATGATATATTATAGGGCTGCAAAAAATGTTATTGTGTTTCACACTTATTTTGTCTGCATATCCCTTAAATTATATAGTTGTATTATAATTTAATTAAGTCATTATTTAAGTGAATTATCTATTTGTCGTTAGTGTGGATTTTATTTTATTTACTTATTTTTTTCTTCATAAAATATGACCAAGAAGGTCATACTTTTCTGTGACTCTAATGTGTTTTAAATGTATTTCAGGCAATATAAGCCAATGCAAGTACAATACAAAAATACATTTTTATCAAGATAGCTTACTATAGGTTTATTAGGTGTGGTAAATTTGTCAGCTTTAAAATACATGAAGATGAAGCATGATTAGATCAGTTCTCTAAAAATTCAAGGGGTTGATTATCCTAATCTGAAGTGGGAATGGAACTCCTTTTCTTTTGGATAAAAAGTTCCCACATGCACAAAAAAAGAATTTTGAACAGTTTGATTATTATTGTTATTTATTTATTTGACAGAAACTCATTATTTAGTTTTAGAGACAAAAAACATAAAAAGGTGAGTAGATTTAAGAGTAGCACTACTTCATCATATTTAAGCAAAAGCAAGAATGAGATGTTTACGTCTAATAAATTAATTAAAAGTGTTTGGTAAAAAGGCTACTCATGTAACGAATAAATCATAAGATCTGATTTACTATTTAAAATATTTAATAAGAAAGAGCAAAATGCTAATTTCTTTGTAAATTTTGTTTTTTTTTAAGTCTTTTATTAAATAATTGAAACAAATAAATAATGTAATAGAAAAATAAGAAATTCAGGCAAAAGAAGCTCTTTTCCAAATCAGTTCTCTTTTTGACATAAAACTTGTAATCACAGTGTCTCCAGTGACAATAATTTCAACTTACTGTAAATAAGCTTGACCCCAAATATAAAAGTAGATTCACTAGATAAACATTAACTGTGTTTTATATATAGGTTACTCACACTTAATGGAGTAGCAAAAAACCTTTTACTCAAGTAAAAATGGAAATATTTTACCAATATATTACTCAAGAAAAGTGCCATGTTGTAAAACTTCTTCTTAAAGTACTTTTTTTGTCAAAAAGTTACTCAAAAGTCAAAGTCAAAAGTCAAAGTCAAAGTCAAAAAGCCTTTATTGTCATTATATTCTGCAACGGATACAATGAGATTTGGGACTTCCATATCAGCTACCGTGATATGTAGCTGAGTAAATTAGTAGCTGAGTAAATTAGTAAAGTGTTGCTTCCCTGGGTGTGTGACATATGTTAATTATTGACCTGCATGTTTGTAATCTGGCTTTTAATTATTTCAATAAAAAAATCGAGAATGCGCACTTTTTACAAATTACAGCTGAACGTCGTAGTAGAGTTATTACGGTAATGGGCATGCATCATAAGCAGAGCTGAAGGAGCCGAGGAGGAGGAAAACAGTTGAAGGCAGCAGGAGAAAGGGAGACGGAGGGGGCTGAAGTTGGGCTGCGGCCGCTTCCCAGAGCTGATTTCCCGCTACGACCGTCTGTGATAAATACAACCACACCGTGTGTTTTATTATTTTACGTGTGGTGAGGTAATAGTGGGCTTATCATCTGCAGAAGGTGCGTATAAAGAGCTAAATTAGCCTGGTTGCTAGCACTAGAGCTCCTGCTGCTTCCACTTAAACATTGTTGCGGGTTTTGGAGTTAGCCAACATGTGAAAATACTGAAGATCTCTCTGCTGGTGTTTAAATAACTGCCACATCACCATGGTTACGGTTACAGGGGCTAATAAATCTAAGCTTTATGGTTAGGTTGAGTTGTTTCAGGTGTGGTAACCTGGGATTTAACAGTTGATTCACACATTTGAGCTCAAAGTAACGTCTGTTTGAGACGTTATGATCAACTTTTAGGATCATGTTGTCGAAATCTTTGGTTTAATGCGAGGATTTTAATGTTTATGTTGTGTTGATCGTGTCCACAGCTGGAAGTCGACATGATGGAGGAGTCGGTGAGCGCCTTTGAGACGCATCTCACGGCGGTTATGGACAGCCTGATCCGCGCCTCGGTGTGTGAGATCAGCAAGCTGTTCCAGGAGGCCGTGAGCGACTACCTGGTGGAGCTGTCTCTCAACAGGAAGGAGAACGAGGCTCTGAAGCTGCGGCTCAAGCTCACCGAGAGCAAGCTGAGGACCGAGCGGAAGTACGGCATGGGCTGGGCGGCCAACCGCCGCAACGCCGGGCTGGCGGCGGCAGAGGAGCTTGGAGGAAGGCAGAAACGGAAAGTTGACATCGCCCGTAAGTATTTCTATTGGCCTCTAAAGAAGGATTGAAAACCAAACACTTGTATTTTCATCAGTTCCTGGCAGATTTTTTTTTATTGAACGAGGCTTTAATCTGGCTGTGCAGACACTGACACACTTGTTTTGTTGGAAACCATCTGGCAAGAGCTGATCTCTCTCCCTCCCTCCTCCATTCCTCCTCCGCCTCCTCCTCATGATTTCTCCCTCCATCTTTCACCTCCCCCCTCTCCTGCTTTCCACTGCATTCTGTCCCTCCCACTCCTCTTTGCTTTTGCTCCCTCCCTTCCTGCCTTGCTCCTCTGCTTCTGGCTCCCTCCTCCCCTTCCTGCTCCTCCTTCCGCTCTCCTCCTCCTGCTTGATCACGTTGCACACACAAACACTCTCTCCCCCGCCTCCTCTCCTGCTTCTCTCTCCATCGCCCTCCTTAATTACACACTCAACTTCTCTTTTTTTCTCTCTACTCCTTCATGCTCTCCTTCAACATGCCACCCTGCGTCTCCTCCTTCTCAACAACTCTTCTTCCTCTCCTGTCATTTCTCACATGTTCGCTCCCTCTACGCCCACACTCCTCACTTGTTCATCATCCATACTCCTCCCTCTGCTTGATTTCTTCTCTCCTTCACCCCAACCTCTGTTCCACTCATTTCCCCATCTTCCTTTCTCCCATATTCTCTTCTTCACCCGCCTAATCATCTCCTCCCACTCATCTCTCTCCCCCTCATATTTCATCTTCTGTCTCCCTGTGCCCTCTGTCTCCACGCCTCCTTTCTGTCCTTCCTTTGCCACCCTCCCCTATCTGCAGGAGGCAAGCAGAAGAAGGTCCCATCAGCAGCCCATGGCAAAGAATGGCCTGGAGGTGTGTGGGAGGAAGGAGGAGGTGGCGGAAGCAGTGGGGGAGGAGGAGGAACTGGAGCTTTAGGCCTAGTAACAGCAGCAGGAGAAAGAGGGGGGAAGGAGGCCAGGGAGGCGTACCATGTCCAGTTCCCCAGGGATGAGGAGGAGGAGGAAGAGATGGTGGAGGACGAGGACGGGGAGGGCAGCTTCACCGGTGAGGGGGAGGAGAATGCCAACATCAAAGAGGAGGTAAGAGAGACAGGCTTTCTCGGAGGAGGAGTAGGAGGAGAAAAGTGGCGCAGCATCACTGTGTTGCTCGGCAGATCATGGGAAATGTTGACAGAGATAATGAGGAGATGTGATGAGAGTTTCTCCTGCCCTTTTTCTTTCCTCAAAAAAAGAAATTCACACACGAAATGTTTATGATGGCGGGAACGCTGCTGATTAGTTTTTTAATCTTCAAGAATTTCTCTGGAGTGGAGATCTTCAACTGTCTAGTACTTTTAGCTTGAAAAAAAAAAGCTGGAAGAGATGAGAAGCTTTTAACTATGCAGCCTGACACCCAAGTAGTAAATTCATACAGCATCTCAGCCAAATCAAAATAGATGGAGCTAACTATTAGATAGATAAGGAAATCTGTTACTAGCTTCAAAAACAGGCTTTTGACTTGGAAAAAACTTCATGGTTTAGATCAACCATGTGTTTGAATAGTCCAGGTCATAATAAGAGCTGAGATAATTGAAAGTGTGTTTTAAGACGTAGAAAATGAATATTCCGTTTTGCTCTTCAGACTGAATGAAACAACGTTTTCAGGCTTTAGGTAGCACCAAGCTGGGAGAAACAACCCGCAAACTCGGTTTCTCCAAACATTAACTCTACTGGACTGAATCCAAATACAAACCATAGTTTTTAGAAATATAGTTTTAAAAAAATAAAAGGGAAGTGTGTGTAGAAACAAAACAAGCGAAATGATGACTCAGCCACCACCGTGCATCACAGCAGACAAGAACGGCAAGAGTTTGATTTAGATCAAACTCCTTAGATTTAGACTGATGGTGGTCAGTGAGCCCCAGGGCAGCTGTGGCTACGATGTAGCTTGCCACCATCAGTGTGTGACTGAATGGGTGAATGAATGTAGTGTAAAGCTTTGGTCAAGTCCTCTGACTCGATAAAGCGCTATATAAGTACAGGCCATATATAATTTAGATAAAGTATGCCTTTTTTCATCCAGGCATCTTTCTATCGGCAATAATATCAACCCCTTTAGCGATACACACTACATTTACTGTTAGTTATTTACCATCCTATAACAATTAATTATGCGCTGATTAAATAAAAACTGGCTTTCTTTAACTTTTAAGCTTTATTTTAGTCTAAGCAACGGCTACCTACCCTGACACATTTACTCACATCAACAGCTGTTTATACATTAACATGTATTTTTCTACTAGCTTCCAGTCCTCTGCATCCATCTTTTTGTGTAGTACCTGCAAAACTACTAAACTTTTATTTTAAAAAAAACTTGATTAAGATTGCAATTTAGTTCTGCTGAGATCATTTGTTCTTTTAAAAAAACCTAGATAAACAGACTCTGATTTTCAAACAAATCCTATCCTCTTCAATGACTGTGTTTTTCTCTCTGTGGTTTGATGTAGTTTTCTCAGACTGAAGGCTATCAGCCAGCTTCTCTGAGGCTCATAAAGGAGGCTTTGAAGATGAATCCACCCAGCCAGAACCTCCACTGTGGCTCAAAACCCTCGAGTGAAGGTAATGGTGTCAGACTTCGAAAGACTTCAGAGACGAGCAGTTTTACAGAAAGTGCAAACTATTCATCTCACAAACTCCCTCCTCCCTCTGTGTCTCCCCTGCAGACCTCACAGATCGCCCTCCAACTCTTCATCAGAAAGGAGAGGAGGACTGGGCTCTGAACCGTCCTGAACCATCAGCTGGAGGCATGACAATGGATGAGCTTCGAGGTCTGGAATCTGCGCTGAGAGCTGAGAGAGGCCGCGAGCAGGCCACCGGTACAACACGGAGCGACAGCGAGGTGACACAAGGGAATGAGACAAGCGTGGCTCCGAAGTACATTGGACTGGATGGACTGGAACAGGAAGAAGAACTGGATCCTAAGCCTCCTGCTCTGCAGAGGGAGAATTGTGTTGTGCAAGCTGCTTTGAAAGATGTGAGGGCTGAAGGCGTGGATGGGTTGGAGCTAAAGCTAGCCTGGTCGAAGAAGCTGAGAGAGGCAGACTGTGCTGTTGTAAAGCCTGTAGAGGGTTCTGTAGAGCAGGCAGAGTCAGAGCAGCTGCATCATCTGTCTGCTCCTGGAAGCGTTGAGGAGAGCGGAGAAGAAGAGGGTGGAGGAGATCTGCTCCACTTCTGTCCACATTGTGGAGGAGGCTTCACTTCAGAGGCGGAGCTAGATGAGCATCCGTGTCCACTAGGTGTCGCCCATCTACAGGGCAGCGGAGCAGAGGGGGGCCTCTTCCCCTGTGCCCACTGTGGCAACACTTTCAGCCATGCCTGGGCCCTCAAAAACCACGAGTGCGCCTGCGCTGCTGAGCGACCGCACTGCTGCGAGATCTGCGGGAAGCGTTTCACACACTCGCGGTCCCTAGAACGCCATCACCTGGTGCACACAGGCGAGAGGCCACATCGCTGCCCGCAATGTGGTCGCTGCTTCAGTCGTCTAGGCAACCTGGAGAGGCACCAGCGAATCCACACGGGGGAACGTCCATACGGATGCGAGGCCTGCGGGAAACGCTTCAGCCGTGTGGAGTATTTAAAAAGACACCAGCTGATTCACAACAGTGAGAAGCCAACACTGCAGTGCTCCAACTGTGGGAGGAGCTTCTTTGATGTGGAGGAGCTGAAGAACCATCAGTGCTTTTAGAGCCTCCCTTTAAGAACCTCAAACTCTGTAGAAAGTTGGAGTTGGCGAACGAACACGACTGCGTTACTCTGTGATAACGTTATAGGTGCACCTGGGTGATTTTTGCTGGCAAGAAATCAACTCAAAAAGTCGTATTGTTGCAGGTCATTAAAATATCTGCTGTTTTTCTGTGGAAATGTGTAAAATCAGAAAATATTTATAAGAAAGACTACATTGTTAGTTTTCATTATTTTAGCAATAATTCACTTGTATTTAGTACCAGTTCCTTTCCTGCCAATTTAACTGACCGTTTTGTAGGCTTTGTATTTTGTATCTTTGTGTTTTGGTCACTGGTAAAAAAAATAAACGTTTTGATTCATCAGATGAAATGTGTGCACTTTATTTACAGGTTCAATTGTCACGGTTTGCTGCCTCTCAGAAGACCTTGTTCCAAAAACCCTGATATTTCCTTCTGTACTCACAGTGTTAACAGGGTGCTCTCTGGATTTATTTTCTTCCAGTTATTTTACCTGACTGGAAAGAAAATATTGCTCCACTGGTTCTCACATGCCTTGCTAATTAAAAATCTCCCAAAGAACAAAGATAAACAGTCAGTGTTTAGAAAGTGAGAACTTAAGTGGTCAACGTTCCAAAAAGCCTGTTCCACTGAAATAACATTAAAAATTCTGAAATAACATTTAATATTCTGTGTAAATGATGCTGATCAATTAAAAGTAAAGTTGTATGATAAACAAGTTGAATGATAAACAACACCATGTGTCTTTCTGCTTTTAGGCTTCAGATTTAACAACATTCCTGTGTTGTGTTTGCGCTGAAGAATTGTAGAAGAATTAAATAGTCCTCAGGGTTGCTAGAAACGAAGAATTTAATGTGAATTCTGTGTTTCCAGCAGTCTGCACCCTGGACAGGTCGTCAGTCTGGCGCAGGGCAACACAGAGACATACGATCATGCGTACACACACCTAAGGACAATGTAAAGACACCAATTAATCCAACAGTCATGTTTTTGCAAGGCAGCAGTGCTGCAAACTGCACCAGGGCCTGAAATATATACCGGTAGTTCTAATCACATACCCCATTCTTAACATGATTGAACTTGATCATTTATGTTAAACATAATATAAGTTATTCTCGCCTTTTTCCATTTATTTGAGTTCAATGTTAACAGACAATCCCCTCTAGCTGTGCCATGATGGATTTTTCTCAGAAAGCCAAAATATCACTTCCCCTTTTTTCAATGTTCCTTTATTAGCGGTTTAAATTGGCTCTTGACTGTTGTTCAGTAAAAAAAAGAGTCCTCAAAAATGTAATTTTGTCTAATAAATATACTAATATTGTAGTTAGCTTTAGACTAAAACGGCCCCTGAGCATTGTGGCCACAGAGAAGCTCAGAGTAAATTGGTCTGGATGGAATAAAGTAGAAAAACATCCACTCTATAAAGGGAGGAAGAAGCAAAGGGGGAGTTTAGCTACTGGAAAGCCTGCAGGGGGCGCTGTAGAATAGAGAGAAAGTGAAAAGATAACCCTTTATAACCCTTAAGGTTTAAAACCTTTCTGCAACGTTTTGCTTAGTTTTTATCTAATCTTCAAACACTCTATATAGCTTATTAAACAAACACCACTTTAAAATGCTCAGTATATTTATACTTCAGGCTTCCTGCATCCTTCTGCAATCAGAAGGTATCTGCACCAATCATTTATGTGAATAGAGATCAGTGGTTGAACAGGGCATTTTCCAACAGGCGACACAGGCAGCTGCCGGGGGCGCCATCTGCTGGACATGGTGCAACATTGCATAATGAGAAAAATGAACTAAATGTACCGGTATTTATATATTGTGAAACCATGGATACTGAAATAGGAAATTCTGATTAGTTAAATTTAAAAATTGGGAATATTAGTGAGATTTTGGTGTAAGTTCTGTGTCAACTTATTTTCCTTAAAAAGAGATCTTAGTGATCCTGTATTGTTGACATTCATTAAGATGACTTTGATTGCACATTGTGGTATAATGTTTTTAAGTAAATAAGATTTTTATTTTTTATTTTTTTACAAATACATTGAGATAGTTGAGTTCTGCTTTTGATTTATTCTGGTCTATATATGACACAAAACACTTGGTTATTGTAATAAGTTATTTCTCAGGGTGCTCGTCTTTCAAGTTAACATTTATTCTGTTTCACTTTTGCCTTTCAAATTTATTGTCTTAACCTTGATATTTTAACTTTACTTTAGATTTTACAGCTGAAAGTTACTTTTAATTTTGCACTCACCACATTCACAGACTCTTTAAGTTGTTGTATATTGTAATATTGTAATTCTATCCCTAAAACTTATATTTATTCTTCAGGTTATTGCCTTTAAAAATAATAATTATACAATAACTGTGCTGTTGCTATGTGGGAAGAGTGCAAGTCAAAGGGGCACTCCCACCTTGGCCGCCAGTGAACCTAGAGTTGTTGGGTTATATCTAATCTGTGAATAAAGGCAGACTAGAGGCCAAACCAGGCCTAAAAACAGTTTTATGATTATGATTAGATCAGTGGGAGCATATCATTCATTTCAATTCAATTCAAAAATACTTTATCAATCCCAAAGGGAAACATAATTTTAAAAATAATTTTTATGTAAATAATTATGAGTCTCTCCTTTGTTCTGTTAGTTTTAATTTCCATAATATTGGTTATTGTACATTCAACTCAACTTCATTCATTTATCCAGGCAACAACAGATTTCCTCTCATGAAATGTAATCCAATCATACGAATTCCAAGTCAATTACAGCACAGATTAATACAAATAGATTACATCAGAAATGAAGAGAAAAAAAATCTTTCAAAAGCATCAAACTATTATGACAAAAAGCCTTAAGTCTCGTTTTGTTTCATGCTTATTCTCTAATTGTTTAATGGAAAATTAGACACAGAAAAAAAACAATAGAGTCTGGTTGATTGTAGCCCTTGTAAAATTTATTATAACAAATAAAACAATCCAAATTATTACTTGTGACTCAGTGGTGAGTAATAAAGCCGATCCTTTTATAAATTTGAATTCCTTCATTTCTCACATTTTCCTCTAAACAGACGGATAGTAGCATTCAGCCTCTGCGCCAGGATGCCCTCCAAATTCTTCAGAGGCACCTGCCTTACATCATAACCTCGAAATGATGGCTTCACTGCAGCATTAATAGGAACAATCTCCTCTCCGCTGCTGCGATCATTTCTTCCCACGGCACCAAATGTAGGAAAGAACTGTTTCATAGCCTCAGGGAGGTCAGCTCTGTACGAGGGGCAGCAGTAAGCAGACCACATGTACTCAGGAACAGACACTCTGTTATTGATCCAGCGTGTATTTGATTTGTAAGGCATGGTACCAGTGATTACGTACATCAGCCCGTTGCAGAAGTCCTTGAATCTGTTCAGCACCTCTTTCTCCAGCCTGTTCCAGGGCCCAGAGTTGGAGGCAACCCGTTGAGGGACAATGTTTGTCAGAGTAAAGGTGGCTTTCCTGTCTTCTTCCCTCCTCTGGTGCATACTAGGACAGAGGTGACCTTTGGAGAAGTCAGAGTTCTTGTAGTCCTGGAGGACGGCTTGGCTTTCAACAACATTCTGATCAACTGTGGCTTTAAAATCTTTCATTTCTGGACTGGCACCGGAAAACGCCAACTGGTAGCAGAACAACAGTGAATGAATGATTAAATCAATCAATAATTATCGATTGTAGAAACTTCAACAGATTAAATAAAACTCCTACTATGGACACAACTATGTATATACCAATAAAATTGTTTAAGGAGTCTTTGAAATATTCTTTTATGTGTTTTACATTAAAAGTTGGCAATTACTTTAACAGTGCAAATGTGTATGAGGCATATGAATACAGAGGCAGTGGTGGGAAGAGAAGCCAAGAATTGTACTAAGTATTTGTATTACTACTCTGGCATACGTTTAGTCACTTCAAGGTGATCATCCCAGCAAAAATACCCTCATTAAATTATTATGTAACAAACAGAAAATCTAAAACTTATGTGCAGCTTCTAGTCTTCAGGATAATAAAAATACAAAAACAGAGCAAATAAATAACATAATTAAAAAACAACGAATTAAGGTAGTAGAAAAATATTTCTAGATCCATGTTCCAAAACATACAAGGACTCAACAAAGAGAAAATTTAATTAAAACGATGAAGCAAGTTAACAGTTTTGGTTTAAAACGGGCTTGTTGAGGGGTTCTGAACAAAAATGCAGACTGACACTCAGAGGCAGAACGGTGAATACTGAGAATTCAGCCGATCATAGCAAGCAAATGAGGAACAACAGACTGATCCCTTATATAGGGATCAAGACTGGTTTGAATAATCAAACAAATGAGCAACAGGTGCATGAAATCAGCTAATTAACAGAAGCTGTGGGGGAAACGATAAAATGGAGGAAATACAAGAGACGCAGTAAAATAAAAAGCAAAAGTAATGCCTTGAGGAAGTAAAGACAAAACCAGCCAAAAACACAAAGAAATTCTTCACAGAAACAAATAAAAAAAAAAGGGCTAAACAAACAGAAATAAAAAGACAAACAGAAAAAGTAGCAGAATATGGAAAGACATCACAAGCTGAATCAAAATCACAACCTAACTTGCAGATCTTGGCATTTCATCATAGAGTAAAGTAAGTTGGATTAGAGCAGCCAGAAGTGTTACCCTAAAATAATATTATAAGTTATGTGCAGTAAAACGATTAAATGAATACCTATGAAAATGTAACTGAGTAACTAGTTACTACTGACAGAATGATACTCAGCTTTGGAAACTTTTGTACACACTTCACTTTTCTAAATTCATGGACTTATAGTTCAACTATGTCTCTTATTGGACCTACCTGTGGTTCATACTTCCACTTGGGTTTGGGCCGCCTTCCATCAGCAGGACTCAGAATGTAGGCAGAGTACAAAGGAGCCCGATGCCGACGGTTGTACAGGCTGGCAAAGTGATATCTGTTCTTGTAGCGCTGACAAATAGGCTGGTATTCTGCACCAATAATCCCCCTAGGGGGAGTTTTATTGTAGAAGAAATCGAGGCAGGGAGAGAAGTCCTTGCTGATCTCTCCCATGACCAGACCACCAAACCAGGGCAAGAGAAAGAGCAGGACTGCTGAGGAGAACGGCAGCCAGTTCTTCCACATCTTGTGGAGCAAGTTGGTCAGATGAGAGGAATCAACGGTAGAGAGATGAAAGATCTGCAGATGGGCTTCCTCCTATAAGGTGCTGTATTCTCAGGGAGATGCTTTATATGCTGACAAGCGAAACCTTGTGGGGATGTTTTGAACAACACCCATTTTCAGCAAAACTTCTTACCTAAACCTGCGGTCAAAGTAACAGAAACAGGTAATAAGAATTTTGTAGCAGTTAGATAATTTCCTATAACCTAATGTTTGGTCTTATGACATCAGTGACGGGAAACAAGACACTCTAACAATCTTGTGGCCAAACTGAAACAATTTTAAGTTTACTCCTACACAAACTGACTTTGTTTTTGTTTTTTTTCTTTTCATCCATTTCATATTCAAAGCATTGAATATTTGAACATTTAGAAAAATGCCCCCATTACAAGGCAACTGCAGTCTGGAGATGCATATTGGTTGGCATCAAACCCAAAGTGTCCATCAGCACAATAACAAAGGACTGCTTGACTGTAATATTTAGCCACAGACATATCTAAAGTGTTTTGCACAATGTTCTGCATATTGGCCACGTTATATGGACGCCAATCACAGGGGAGTTTTTTGTGGCTAATACGCTACTGCTAACTGAGAGTAGAGACATCTTGTAAGAGCAAACAGAAAAGTGCCTTTAGACTTAGGGTTAGATAAATAAATAGATATATTTGTTATAAAAGTGCAAACCAGTTAGTTTGCACTATGAGCACCCTGATGCACGCATGGAATGGCTCCTTTCTCATGCCTGTGTAAATAGTGCAAGCCAACAGAACTGACAAAGGCTCGTGGATAGGTGTCAAAACGTCTTCAAAAACTGTCAAGTTGCCTTCCGTTTCAAGCCTATTTGTGGTTGCTGCTTTCTTAGTAAGTCTGTTATTGAAAACAGTGCCTGTTCCATTAAATGTCCTCGATACATAGAAAAAGCAAATCAAATATTTTCCTTTAAATCACGCAGCTCTACTGAGGTTTTTGTACTTTGAGAAATGCTAAAGTTGCAAATTGTATATTAGTCCAAACCATTTGTGGAGATGTTCACATGGGATTGTTGGTGATGATGCTGTGTGGATGCATTAAATCATTCCTATTGTTGTTACCTACTTTACCCTTACGCTAGTCTCATCATTCAGCTTCAATTTTTTATGCATATATATATATATATATATAAATCTGTCCAGAAATAATAGTTCCTGTAGAAAATGAAAATCGAATGCTCCTTACAATCAAACAACTTATTTTCTTTAAAAATGCACTTGACCTGTTTACATTCTGCTATAATGTTAAAGTTTGAACAGGTGAAGATGAATGCTGCAATTATCAAAACCCTGTTTTTGTTTAAGCTTCATAGTCACTGCATTGTTAACCACTTAAAGCTGTTAATCCACTATAATATTAAGCTAAACGCCTAAATTTTATGTTTGTTTTGTTCTTTTTTTTTCTGGCAAACATGCTCCTCTTTCTGTCCAACCTTTAACAATAAATCAACAATAAAGTACTGATGAAAACATACAGTTATGTGTCTTCTTTCACATGGCATGACTTGCAAATGGCTGTTTCTTTAGAATTATGAAATACAAGAAGCCAGGAATTCCACCAAACCTCTCTGCAGAGCATAGTGCAAACTTCAGAGCAAGATTTCTGAGACAGCAGCTTACCGGTAACCGATTATCTCTGTTTTAAACAGTAGCAGGTTTCTACGAGGATTTAAAGCATTCAATATTTGCTTCCATTTTTACAGTTGAACCCTGATTTCTGTGCCGCTGCAAGTCTTTCAGCTGGGCTGGTCTCACATTTTTATAGGAAATGCAGTTTTTACTGCTTTGAAACTATTTCTTAAAATTTTTTGACACAATGACACATTTCACCGAATCCCTGTTTTTGTTTCTCTTTCAGTATTTCTGTATAACTGTCATCCTTCTGTTACATAAACTATGAAGGTAATCAGGTTCTTGATAGTTCTTGATCACAAGCACATGCAGACAAAATCATTGGTTTCCCTCTTTTAATAAAAGAAAATCCACAATGGTTATAGAAAAAACTTGAATCCGACTAAAGAGATAATATATATATAAACACATTAAACAGGCCTGGACAAAAATGATGGTACCCTTAATCTAATGTTTTATTGCCCAACTACACTTAAACGATTCCTTTAACTTTCAGTAAAGCTTCTGCTCTGCTCAGCAGGTATTTTGGCCCACTCCTCTGTAATAAGAGCATTTATGTTATTACTTACTTGATCAATTTAAGGGAAAATTTACTTATTTCCAGAAAAAGGCACATATTTACATTTTTGCCAGTCTCCTAAAAACAAAATCTGAAATTGAAATAATCTGTATAAAAAAAGGTTATAAATGATAAAATTCACTAAACATTTTTACTTACTGCTTATACAAATCATCGAATGTATTCTTTTGGAGGACGTCTGCCACTCTCCATAGTATTAGCAAGGTCTAGTGTTTATATTCAGAACAAACCCAAACTGTGTTGATAACTTCTAGGGTAAATTATCATTGTTAAGTGGCTAATCACTGGAATTACTGTTCACCACTCATAAAGCACTAACGAGGTATTTCTATGTTATTTTCTTTTCAGAGTTATTATGTTTTATTTACGGTCAATGATGGGATAGAAAGTGTATATAGATTTGAAAAAAATTCCTCACAGAGAAATTAAACCAACATTTTGCAGCAGGTTTCCTCAACCTCCTTAAAAAAATGTCGTCCTGAAATAAACCCCTGCTTTTCAGCTTCAGATGCTGCTTTTCCTGCTTTTCAGCTTCAGATATGTATAAACATGTACTCCACACACTTAAAACAATTTTTTGTTTTTTCATTTTATTTTGCACAAGTATTTACCACCACCCAAGCCCATCTAGGAGCTGTAGAGAATGACAGCTCAGGAGGAAGACTTTCAGTCTGTTTGTTCTGCACCAAAGACATATAGATGGAATAATGTAAAAAGAAAGTCATTATTATGAGAAAAATCATCCAATCAAAATCCACCTCATCCATAAGGAAACCTGTGGAGGATGGTGAGACTTAAATTAAACATTTGGCCTATATGCAAACCACGAGAAAAGGGCTTAAGACTGAAGTTTAGATTCCTCATAGCTACTGTAAAATCATTTCAATAAAAAATTGTAAGAATGGTTCAGTCAAAGCCTAGATTTAAACCCATATAAAAAAAAATTATAAGACTTAAAAACAGATGTTCAAAGATATATTTTTTGTAAAAAGAATGAGCAAAGAGTTTACTCTCCAGATGTGAAAATCCAGTCGATGGATGTAGATTACAGTGGATCCTGCAAGTATTAGTCTAGGTTGGGTAGTTGTGTCGTGATTAGGGAATAGAGCTTAGAATCCTGAGGTTCTGAGTTTGAGCCCCACTCCCACAGACTGTCACTCTGGGTCTCTGAGCAAGACCCTTAAAGGAATAGTAC